TATATATATATGGGAGGGGAGGGGAGGACATCAGAACCAGGCCATGAGTAGTTGGTCATTAGGACTACCTATTTACTGTTAGGACAAAAAATAGCATCTCTAGTACAGTCTTCATTTAATTTGTTGCTACATATAAAGTACCAAATAGAAGATTACATACTATGCATATTTACAAGTATCCATATATTTCAGTAATGATATTTCAACATTACTTGGATCAATTTAAAATCTTCTCTTTTATCTAGGCAAAGCTTAATTTCATGCCTAAAGACAATCTTTTTCAAAGAGAAGCATTCTGATTAAATCTCTAGGGGTATTAGCATTTCCTAAATTCTTAGAATTAAAATATAGCAACTGAAAATCATATTCTTTTGCAATATATTAAGAAAAACAGTGAATGCATGTGTCATTAAGTTCTGAATGAATTTTTTTAAAAGAAATTTTCTGACCTTAATTTACAAGTTATAGTGGGTCATCAGAGATTTGTTGAACAATCCAGACCATGCTTCCTAAAGCTCTGTTCATTACTAATATCTGTTTCTAGGAATTTGAACCAGACTGGTTGTCTAGGGAGATTCTCAGCTGTCCCAAATGTGCTTTTTCAAGAGGCAACTGGACTTTCTGGTTTTTCTTTGAAAACATTTTGCTTCCCATCCAAGAAGCTTCTTCAGCTCTTGTCCAGTTGCCTCTTGAAAAAGCACATTTGGGACAATCAGATTGGTTGTAGTCTACAAGCAGGGATTTATACCGAATATAATATAATGAAATATATGTTGGGCTAGAAATGAAGAAACCAAGGTTCATTCATCACTAGAACAGCTCACTAATGACTTGGGTTAGTTATTAATCCAATCTGTCTCAGGTTTGATGTGCTAATAAATAAGTTTGAAGAAGAGATACAACATAGATCTCTAAACTCCTCATGGAGTATGCAGTACAACTTTAAGGAATAAACCATAATTTATATTCATAAAATTATGAATAATTTGAATTGTGAATAAATCAAGTCCTAAACCCAAGAAAGCCATATTTAAAACCTACTGGAACCATTTCTTTAAGTTAGTCAAATTAAGGCAGGAATCTTCAACCAAACCCTGAATTCTGATAATTACTTCCTGTCTAAAAGAAACCCATTGAAACAATTATCTTACTACATATTCTGCTTATGTGGGATTATTTCTTTATTTTCTTTTTCTGCAGACTATCCTCATCTAGTTGGATGGCCACCCAAGTTCAACAAATGGGTTAACCGTTTCTGCAGTCCATTATTAGTTTTACAGTACTCTGGGAACATTAGGTCATATCCCATCTCACTTTTCCTTTGGGATTCCGCGTCTTACATAAATATTTTTCTCACAATAATCCATACTGGTAGCAGGAAATAGTTTCCCTTGTGAACATGAGTAGGTACCTAATATAACTCCCATTTATAAAAAGCGTAAGGAATCATTGAGTAACTTAAAAAAAAAGATTGTTCCTCATTATAGATACTCAGATGCAGGGACTAACTTTATCAGATAAAGAAAAGGAAGCTTTTACCCTTACATTCATTCAAGACCAAATGTAGCCTGCCTTCTTTCCTTCCTTCCTTCCTTCCTTCCTTCCTTCCTTCCTTCCTTCCTTCCTTCCT